TGAAAGGGAATTTCATAGCGCTACAGGCCTACCTCAAGAAACAAGAAAAATTTCTAGTTGACTGTCTAACCTCACAACTTAAAGAATTAGAAAGCAAACAAAAAGAAAACCCCAGAGCAAGTAGAAGGAAGGAAATAGTAAAGATCAGAGCAGAAATAAATGACATAGAGACAAAAAAAAAAAAAAAAAAATTCAAAAGATCAATGAAACAAAGAGGTAGTTTTTCAAAAAGATAAACAAGATTGATGGACCCTTAGCTAGACTTACCAAGAAACAAAGAGAGAGAACCCAATGCACAAAATCAGAAATGAAAGAGAAGTAACAACTGACACCACAGAAATACAAAAGATCATTAACAGCTACTATGAACAACTATATGACAACAAATTCGACAATCTAAGCGAAATGGACAAATTTCTAGAAAAACACAGTCTCCCAAAACTGGACCAGAAAGAGATACAAAACTTGAACAGACCAGTAACAACTAAGGAAATTGAAGAGGTAATCAAGACTCTCCCAGCAAACAAAAGCCCAGGCCCAGATGGCTTCACAGGGGAGTTTTACCGAACATTCAAAAAAGAATTAACACCCATTCTCCTCAAACTAGTTCAAAAAATTCAAGAAGAAGGAAGACTTCCAAACTCATTTTATGAGGCCAGCATAATTCTAATTCCAAAACCAAATAAAGACACTACAAAAAAACTACAGGCCAATATCCCTGATGAACATAGACGCCAAAATCCTGAACAAAATACTAGCAAATCGGATCTAGCAATACATCAGAAAAATTATTCACCATGACCAAGTGGGATTCATCCCAGGGATGCAAGGCTGGTACAATATTCGCAAATCAATCAATGTGATACACCACATAAACAAAATGAAGAATAAAAATCACATGATCATATCAGTAGACACCGAAAAAGCATTCGACAAAATCCAGCACCCATTTCTGATAAAAACCCTCAGCAATCTGGGAATAGAGGGATCATATCTTGACACAATAAAGGCCATATATGAAAGACCTATAGCCAACATCATACTCAATGGACAGAAATTAAAAATATTTCCCTTAAGAACAGGAACAAGACAGGGACGTCCACTTTTGCCACTCATATTTAACATTTTACTGGAAGTCTTAGCCACAGCAATCAGACAGGAAGAAAAAATAAAAGGGATCCAAATTGGAAAGAAGGAAGTGAAACTGTCATTATTCGCAGATGACATGATATTATACATAGAAAACCCTAAAGACTTCATCAAAAATCTACTAGACTTAATAAATGGATTTGGCAAAGTAGCAAGATACAAAATAAACATCAAGAAATTGACGGCATTCTTTTTTTTTTTTTTTATCCTCTCCCGAGGACATTTTTCCATTTTTTGTTCAGGTAGAGTGGGAGGGAGAGAGAGGAACAGAGAGAGAGAGAGAGAAACATCGATGTGAAAGGAACACATTGAGTGGCTGCCACCCGCACAACCGACCAGTGCCGGGGACAAACTGCAACCGAGGTACGCGCCCTTAGCGGGAACCGAACCCGGGTCTCTCAGGACAGCAGGCCGACACTCTAACCGCTGAGCCAAACTGGCCAGGGCATTGACGGCATTCTTATACACCAATGATGAACTCACAGAAAGAGAAACTGAAAAACCAATCCCATTTATCATCGCAGCAGAAAAAATTAAGATACCTAGGACTAAACTTAACCAAAGGAGTAAAGGACCTGCAGAAAACTACAGAACATTGAAAAAAGAAATAGAGGAAGATATAAAAAAGTGGAAGCACATACCTTGTTCATAGATTGGAAAAATTAACATCATTAAAATGTCCATATTACCCAAAGCAAACTATAGATTCAATGCAATCGCCATCAAAATACCAATGACATAACTTCACAGAACTAGAACAAATACTTCAAAAGTTCATATGGTATCAAAAAAAGACCCTGAATAGCCACAGCAATTTTGAAAAAGAAGGACACAGTAGGTGGGATCACAATACCAGATATCAGGTTATACTACAAAGTGACTGTAATCAAAACAGCCTGGTACTGGAACAAGAACAGGCATATAGATCAGTGGAACAGAACAGAGAACCCAGAAATGGACCCAAGGCAATATGCTCAATTAATATTTGACAAAGGTGGCAAGAGCATACAGTGGAGTAAAGACAGCCTCTTTAATACATGGTGCTGGGAAAATTGGACAGCTACATGCAAAATAAATAAAACTAGACCATCAACTTACATCATACACAAAAATAAACTCAAAATGGATAAAAGACTTAAATGTGACCCATGAATCCATAAAAATTCTAGAAGAAAATGTAGGCAACAAAATTTCGGACATCATACGCAGCAGAATTTTCACTGATACATCACCTAAGCCAACAGATACAAAGGAGAAAATGAACACATGGGACTACATCAAACTCAAAAACTTCTGCACAGCAAAAGGAACAACCATCAAAATGGTAAGGCAACCCACAGTATGGGAGAACATCATTGCCAATGATACATCAGATAAGCGGTTAATTTCCAAAATATATAGAGTACTCATACAACTCAACAAAAGGAAGACAAAGAACCCAATTAAAAATTGGGCAGAGGACCTGAATAGACACCTCTCCAAACAGGACATACAAATGGCCAAGAGACATATGAAGAAATGCTCAACATCACTAAGCATCAGAGAAATGCAAATTAAAACAACAATGAGGTATCACCTCACACCTGTCAGAAAGGCCACCATCAACAAATCATCAAGTAAGTGTTGGCGAGGCTATGGAGAAAAGGGGACTCTAGTGCACTGCTGGTGGGAATGCAAACTGGTGCAGCCACTATGGAAAACAATATGGTGTTACTTCAAAAAATTAAAAATTGAACTTCCATTTGACCCAGTGATCCCGCTTCTAGGAATATACCCTAAGAAGCCTGAAACACCAAGCAGAAAGAATATATGTAGCCCCATGTTCATAGCAGCACTATTTACAATAGCTAAGATCTGGAAACAGCCCAAGTGTCCATCAGTAGACGAATGGATAAAAAAGCAGTGGTACATATGCACAATGGAGTACTATGCAGCTGTAAGAAAGAACGATCTCTTATCTTTTGAGATGACATGGAGGGACCTGGAAAATATTATCCTAAGTGAAACAAGCCAAGCATAAAAAGACAAATACCACATGATCTCACTGATATATGGAATATAACGAATATAACAGTCTGAGAAATAGGGTAGACTGAGAAACACAGAAGTAGGGTACAGACTGACATCCCTCAGAAGAGGGGCTGGTGAGGGGTGGGAAGAGATAAACCACAGAACTTATATGCATTTATGCATAACCAATGGACATGGACAACAAAGCCGGGGACGGGGTGGGTGGGATAGGGAGGAAGGTGTCAATGGGGTAAAAAAGGAGAAACATCTCTAACAAAAATAAAATAAAATAAAAAGAAAGAAAAAGAAAAGGGAAGGAGAAGAGTTAGTCAGCGGGAGATGTGACCATAGAGGAAAAGCACAGAGATGGATGTTACTTTAAGATGGAGAATGGGACCATCAGCAAAGGAATGTGGGCAGCTCTAGAAGCTGGAAAAAGCAAAGGACCCGAATTCTTGCCTAGAGCCTCTGTAAAGGAACATAGCCCTGCTGACACCTTGATCAGCCCAATGAGACTGGACATAGCCTATAAAACTGTAAGACAATTAAAAAAAGAAAAACAAAACAGCTTTATTTATAATAAGTCAAAACAGGAAGAAACTACAATATCCACCTACAGGTGAATGAATAAATACTGTGGTATATCCGTGCAATAGACTACTATTCAACAATGAAAAGGAATTAACTATTGACTCACACAACATGGATAAATCTCAAAAACATTATGCTCATAAAAGAAGACAGTATGAAGAGTACATATTATTTGAAGCCATTTATATAAAATTTAAACCAGGCAGAATAGTCCAGGATGACAGAAAGTAGGTCAGTGACTCTCCACAGCTAAGACTGGTGGTGATGGTTGTAAGGATAACTTGGAAAGTACACAAAGTGTCTTTTGGGCTGGGTTATATAGATATATATTTGTTAAGTACAATGAACTCTACATTTATTTTATTATTATTTTTTTTATATGAATTTTTATTTATTTTTTTGTTACAGATATTTAACCTTTTAACCCCATTGGCACCCCCCCCGCCTCCACCCTGTCCCCGGCTTAGTTGTCCATGTCCATTGGTCATGCATACATGCATATAAGTTCTGTGGTTTATCTCTTCCCACTCCCCCACCCCCCATCCCCTCTTCTGAGGGATGTCAGTCTGTGCCCTACTTCCATGTGTCTGGGTCTACTGTATATGAACTCTACATTTAAAGTGAGAATATTATTTTGTATTTAAATTATACTTCAAAAAGGTTGACTTGAAAATAAAAATTTAAAAAACCATCAGAGAAGTAAGACTTTTCATACACACATAAGAGAGAATGCTATGAAAGAAGTCTTTAGAAAACAAGAATTTGTTGAAATAAAATAATGCTAAAACACATATGTTGATAGGAAATAAGAAACAATTTAAGAAAATCACCCATGAAACATAACAAAAGGATAAAAAGTTCAAAAATAGGAGGGAATAAGAAAAGAAAGTTTAATGTTATGAAAATAAGAAAAATCTGCCCTGGCCAGTTTGGCTCAGTGATTGAGTATCGGCCTATGGACCAGAGAGTCCTGGGTTCGGTTCCTGCTAGGGGCACGTATCACAAAAAAAGAAAAAAAAGAAAGAAAAATCCAGAAAAGTGTATGAAAACTCGGTGGCGGGGGGGGGGTAGATGGTGAGAATAATAAAAAAAAGATGGTTTCCCATGACTAAAGAACATGAGTTTATCACTTTGTGTTTATCCTCCCTACTTCATTTTTTGAAAAGTTTTTATCCTTTATTTTTAAAAGTAGTCTCTAATTTTTATGCCCCAAACCTCTCTCCCAATACCCTTACTCAAAGGGGTCTTACCTCTCACGGCCCTGCTCTCTGCCACCTCAACTGTGCTCTCAACTCTCCTTGGTCCATTTTCAGCTGCTTCTTCCAGCTCTAATTCCAGCACTTCATGATTGTCTTTTCAGGGGAGAAACAGTGATAGTGTTTTTAAAAATCACTCCTGACTCTAGTCTTCTTTTTTCTTTCTAACTACTCAGATATCTCAGTGTTTGTGGCTTGATTCTGATGATAGATTTTTTTAAATAGACAAACTTTTTGTGAGCCTGTACAAAAATGAAATTTAAGCAACCTTCCCAGATGTATGTAAAAGAATAAAATTCTTATAAAAGAATTTTAACAACAATCGTTAATTATTGGGAAATGTGACTGAACATAAATTGCTTTTCCAGTTTTATGAGCTCTTACAAACTACATAAGAAGGTGAAACTAGGCTCTGGCAGCAACTTGAAGACAGGACAACCCACCAGTGTAGGTGAACAATCTCTTCTTTGGTCTGTCTGATCCTGTATATTGAGGATCTTACCTGTTCTCTTGAGACTGCAGCTCTCCTGGAGTTTCTTTGATGTAGAAGAATTTGGAAAATTGAGAGTAGCATAAGTCACTTCCTCAGGCATTACTGAACAAATAGAGCACTTGTTCTGTGTGCTCTGTCTGTGTGCTGTGCTGTCACTGAAGTTAACAGAAGCTGCTGCAGTTGGGTGATCTGTGCATGCAGGGACCAAGTTGAGTGAGCTACCTTTGTAAAAAGCAAGCAAAAAGTACTGTCAAAAACAGAACTGTTACTTCTGCATGCATCTTATCTCCCTTTTTCTAACTTCCTCCAGTAAAGCACTAAGTTGAAGAAATGGTCATTAGAGCCACTTTTTCTCAGTGGTTAGAGCGTTGGCCTGTGGTCCAGAGAGACCCTTTCTTATCCATTTCACATTTCCTTATTTTCATTCTCTGACCCAGACCTGACCCTGGCTACATCTGCCCAACATGGGAAATATGCCAAGTACTGTGTTCTCATCTTACGTAAAGAAGATTTAATTGACTCTGTATCTACTGGTCCAGTCCCAGTAACTTGACTCTTTGGTGTGTTTCACTCCCAATGATTTTTTTAACCCTGAAATCCTCATCTGAACTCCTTCATCACAGACTAATTTACAAACATAGCCTCGCCAAAAATAATACCAATCCAGCAAAATAAGGAAGAAACACAAAAAAACTAACAGATGTGAGATCTGGCTAATAGTGGACAGTACTCATGATAGCAGTGACAAATATCCCAGGATGAATATTGTAGCAGTTCTTGAAAAAATGCTGGTCCAGAATGAAGCAAGAGGACTGAAAACTCTGGAAAGAAGGGTCTGAGAGAATAGAACACACAAATTTGGGATGACTTCAAAAACGTAGTGAGGCACAATTAGATAATCCCATTAAAACTTTATGCTAAGAATATTGCCCTTGGAGTGGCATATTGGAGACGCAGAGAAAGATTTATAATCTCTACATTGGAATTAACCATTAAGCAATAAAAATATGGTAAATAAATACATTTAAAATTTACTCTTAAAATCAGCCAACAGTAAAATTATGAAATAATTATGGAGCATATGCATACTTCAGTATTAGCAGTATAAAAATAAAAGTTCAGATGACAGAGATGAAGAGACAGAAAGACGGGAAGAGAGAGGTTGAGGGCAAGAGAAGTGGAAGGGGGTGGTAACACTGATCCCCCCAGAGCAGAGGATTTAAAAATACATTCTGAGACATGGAACAGGCTGGTCCCACACCACATGTGGCAGATAAAAATTGGGAGGAATATCTCTGCTGTGGAGGACCCCCTGAGGAGTGAGGGGTTGTAGCCCCTCATCAGGCTCCCCAACCCAGGGTTCAAGTGACAGGAAGAGAAGAGTCTCCATAACTTCTGGCTTAAAAACAAACAGGGATTAAGGCTGAGGGTGACTGAGCCTTCTAGAGTCCCAGGCTGTTCCTCTTAAAAGACCATACACAGACTTACTCAGACTTACTCCCTCTGAACTCCAGCATGGGAGCAGCAGCTTGAAAGGCACCAGAGATATACAGAGAAGAAATGGATTGTTTGGCATCAGGATGAGAGCTAGTGGAGCAGCTTTCTCCCAGACAGAAGTGCTTGCAGAAGCCACTGTTCCTTTGCTGCATCCCTTCCCCACAGAGCCAGCAGGCAGGTGCCTTATTGAGTTCCCATAAACCTGGCTTCCCTACCCTGGTGATTTCCTGAGGCCCACTCTCCCAAGTGTTACACCCATCCAAACTGTTTCCAGTGGCTTTTCCATATGGATGGCCTGTCTTGGCTCAAGCTTCATATTTTCCTGGAATCTCTCAAACAAGCATTATCTGGCCACAGTGAGCTCCATACCTCTCACTAAGTGGCCCCAGGCCCAGCACTAGCAGCAACCAGCCTTGGTTCACAGCTTGGCCTTGCCTGGGCACCTCTAAGCCCAGCACAAGAAGAAGCCATCTGCAGGTCACTTTGTAGCGTATGCAAGGTGGCCCTGCGTAGAACACAGGTGGTGGCTGACCTTGGCCTGCACCTGCCAGGAGACCCCAGAGCCAACACACCCAATGGACAGCTTCAGACCATGATGAAGCAACACCACCCAATAACCTCCACAAATTACACACTCAAGGGGTGGACTCATTGGGCACCAGAGCTCTACTGAAGTAAGTACTATTCTGTGTGGTTGGCCCCTACACAGCTTGTCATCCACAGTAGTCATAGATCAGTGGTCAGTGGTCACAGCCAGTCATTCAAGCTGATTGAGTCCCTCCCACTGATGTGCTAATAGCACTCAAGGTTCAACTACAACAGGAGAGTATACAGCCCACACAGTGGGACACACTTCAAGTATCCAACTTTAGTGATTGAGAAGGCTGTGCCATGAGACCCTACAGGATGTCTACTACATTGGACCATGCTACCAAATCTAGCAGATGAAGCAATTAGCAGTTCTATCTAATACATAGAAACAAACACAGGAAGGCTGCCAAAATGAGGAGACAAAAAAAGAACAGAACAAAACTCTAGAAAAAGAACTAAACAAAATGGGTATAAACAATCTACTAAATGTAGAGTTCAAAGCATTGGTCATAGGATGCTTAATAAAATTAGTGAGAACCTCAACAGCATAAAAAAGAACCAGTCAGAAATGAAGGATACACTAAGAATAATTCACAGGGAATCAATGGTAGAGCAGATAAAGCCAAGAATCAAATCAGTGGTTTAGAATATAAAGAAGCAAAAAACACCCACCCAGAACAGCAAAAAGAAAAAAAAATCCAAAATATAAAGATAGTGTAAGCAACTTCTGGGGCAACTTCAAGCATACCAGTATTCATATCACATGGGTGCTGGTAGGAGAAGAAAGGGAGCATGCCTGACTAATAAAGAGCTGACCCTTCACATGGCCAAATTTTGGTCTGTTTAGGCCTGATAAACACCACTAGTCTCACCCTGATGACTTCCTGAGGTCCTGCCCACTCAACATTAGTGTGCAAGCAACTTTGAGGGTGGTAGTTAGAGTTGGTATACTATGGGACATTTTCTGAGTGGCCTCAGACCCAGCACTGGCACTGAGTTTAAACCTATATGAATGTGGTGATCATCACATGCCCCTACCTGGTGACTCACTGAGAACTTACCACATACAACTGAAGTCCACCAGAGATTCTTTCAGTGACTGAGCTTAAAGATAGTCAGCAGGTGGAAAGAGTTAGAAGAAGATCTCATGGTGCTTTGGAAATGTTGCTGACCTGCCTCTGGGCCTGATGCTGGTAAAAGCCAGCCTTGTTGTACAACCTGGTACTTCCTGTGCACACTCAGGCCCAGCAAAGCCAGGCACTAACTGTGGATCACTTTGTAGCTCCAAATACATGGTCCAGGGACAATAACAGGCAGTGTTTGACATTGGCCTACATTAAAGTCCTTCCCAGGAGGCTCCAGAACGAACCAGTGGCCAGCTTCAGACATCAAAGTAGAATCTAATTAACTTCACAAGCAACATATCCAAATTGGAGATCAAGTCAGGCAGCTGACCCTAATGAAGCAAATTCTGCTTCATGTGGTCAGCACCTGAACATCAGCTTGTACACTGAGGTATGGGTTGATCCTTACACTTACCAGGGTTGACCTCACACATAAATGAGCCAATAAAAACTAAGACTAACCTGGCCAGTGGGGCACAGTGGATTAAGCATCATCCCATGGACTGAAAGGTCCAGTTTGACTCCTGATCAGGGCACATGCCCAGGTTGTGGGCTCAATTCCCAGTGAGGAGCATGCAGGAGGCAGCCAATCAATGTTTCTCTCCATATATATATATATATATATATATATATATATATATATATATATAATTTATATATATATATAAATAATAATTAATATTTCTATCTGTCCCTTTTTTTTTATCTCTAAAAAAAGTCAATAAAAACATATTTTTAAAAAAGCCAACACCAAATTACAACAGGAAAGTCCACAATACCCACATCAGGGACATTTCTGCGGAGCCTGGCTCAGGTGATCAAGGAGACTATGCCACAGGATCCCACAGGACACCTGCTACATAAGGCCACCCTACCTAGACTTAAAGTCATAACAGATTACCTAGTACAGAAAAACAAACACAAAGTGGCAGCCAAAATGTTAAGATAAAACCACATGCCCCAAATATAAGAACAGGAGAAATCTCCCAAAGAAGAAGGAACTAAATAAAATGGAGGCAAGCAATTTATCAGATATAGAGTTTTTAAAAATTGGTTATAAGGATGATCAAGAAATTTAGTGAGAACTACAACAGCATTAAAAAAGACACAGAAACCATAACAAAGAACCAGTCAGAAATGAAGAATATAATATCTGAAATAAAAAATACACTAGAGGGTGTAAACTGTAGGTTGGATAAAACAGATGACTGAATTAGCAATTTGGGAAGCAAAGTAGCAGAAAGCACCAAGTCAGAGCAGCAGAAAGAAAAAATAAATAAATAATGAGGATAGTTTAACAGATCTTTGGAAAGACATGAAATACAACAACATCCACATCACAGGGGTACCAGAAGAAGAAGAGAGGGAGCAAGGGATTGAAAACCTATTTAGAAAAATAATGACCAAAACTTTTCTAACCTTGTGAAGAAAAAACACACATAAGTCCAGGAAGCACAAAGAGTCCCAAACAACAAGAACCCCAAGAGGCCCCCACTAAGACACATTATAGTTAAAATGGGAAAGGTTAATGACAAAGAGAGGATCTTAAAAGCAGCAAGAGAAAGACAGTTAATTACCTACAAAGAGCTCCCATAAGACTGTCAACTGATTTCTCAACAGAAACATTTCAGGCCAGAAGGGATCTGCATGAAATATTTAAAGTGATGAAAAGTAAACACCTATAACCCAGACTGCCTATATCCAGCAAAGATATAATTTAAAATTGAAGGAGAAATTAAGGGAGGAAAAAGTGGAAGGAATTCATTACCATCAAACAAGTATTACAAGAAATTTCAAAGGGCCTTCTTTAAAAGTAAGAAGAAAAAGAAAAACAGAGAAACATAGATATAAAGAATAAAAGGGCAAAAAAATACATACCTATCAATAACCACTTTAAGCGTAATTGGCTTAAATGATCCAATCAAAAGACATAAGGTAGAGGGCAGTGTGGAGTGAGGCAAAGGGAGGGAAAATGA